TGAGGAGAAGCAGAAGTATGTACTGATGAATATTTCCTCGCCATATTCTCAGCCTGACGTGTAATCGGTTGTGATGTTGACTTTCTGGTCCACCAACCGATGATCATTTCTTATAGAGGTATCTGCTTTCCTCAGTCCACCAAGGCTGTTCCTAGACTTGGTCTTCCTAAGGTAGCAGTGAGTGACTAATTTTTACTTGCCATCATGGGCTCTCTGCGTACTTATGACACTTTTATGCGTGGCACGTGGCGTTGAATATACATTTTGCCATTTGATCTCACACCAGACCCAGTATCACGGACAATTTGTGCCTGATGTGCGAGTCTTGATTATGCTAGCTCGTACCGCGTCTTGAAGAGCATTCAACGTCCTCTGTCCTTTCTCCGGTTGCTGGTCTCTAGACGCGTGTTTGCACGTCAAATTTTTCTACATACTTTGGGATTCATCTCATCAGACTAGAACTGTTCTTGGGATGATTTCGAATGAGATGTTTCTTTCTTTTCTCCCATATTCTCCTGTAACCCTTTCGTCTTCGTCACCTGCATTCAACTTTTATGTTTGTGACCATGCTCTTCAGAAATAAATGATAATTTTAGTTTACTGAAGATCAAGTCACATAACTCTTTTATTTTTGGTTGATTTCTCTGGGCATCCTGCAGTAGTAAGCGTCATTCAAAATCCTGTCAGACACATCTTTCTCAATACAGTGTATGAATTAACTTTGAATTGGTCCCTGTCAAATTTTCAGTTTCATATTTAGTTATACAAAAAACATCTTGAAATTGACGGAAACCATTTTGGGAAGAAGCGACTCCTTAGAAAAATCACGATCGTAATGCAAAAACTAATTTCTCATGCTACTTTTTACACGCGCTCTTTGCTTGATGTATTTGTGACATACACTTCGTTAAACTTCAAATTTGCGATGAGGCCCATAGTGTACAGTCTCTGGTGAAAACATTGGCTAAATACTACTTGTCTTTCCTGCTTTATCTTTGTGCAGTTATCGGTGACCCTTTACATGAGTATATCTTCTGCGGACGTAGAAAATTAGCCAATCGATGAATCGCCCAGTCACTGATTCTAGCGGCAACATTCGGAGAAGAAAGCGGCAGTCAAGCGAAGCTTTTTTTCAACCTGTAAGCTGGGAGCACCTTGCATATTTTCGTAAAGGAAACTACTCACAAGTTTGCTGAAAACTCTTTGACAGCCCACGACCGGTGTAGCCTACTCGATGAGCCCAAGAAGGGCGAAACCAGTCGTGGGCTGTCGAGCAGCTTTCAGCAACCTTGTGAGTAGTTTCCCTTATGAAAATGTACCGCGTTGTCTCGAATATTGTGCCAACTGAAACCTGAGGGGTCCTGTGTGCAGCACATTCAGTTGTATATTATCATTAACAAGAGATTCAGTTGAGTCTCTCATGAAAACCAAATTGGTTTGTAAATGAGTGTGTTTCTTGGCAATACCTTACATATCTTTGATGCAGATGTGAGCGAATTCTCCCCAACAGACTACTGGTTAAAGCTGAAGTTTTTTGTGTGATTGTTAGGTGTTCTTCCCGAGTATCACCCAACTCAAGCTTATTTGCAGCTCCTTACTCAATTACTGATGTAACATAGGGGTCGATTACTCTATCTCTATCACTTTCTCTCTGATTATCTGACCTGACCGTCTCCACCAAATTGCTCTCTTCAAAAGATAGAACTTTGATGTAAAAATTTAGTTTCTTTAACTTCATCGGTGATGTATGTTACTAAACATTTCCGGCGCGAGGGTCGAATTTACTCGAACAGGAGAGTAGACCGCTATCACCTACCAGCGAGAATGTTCATCAACATGGTATATAGGACTGCTGTTAATCTCAGATAGCGATTTCAGGTATCTTGTTCATTGATACACAAATTTCGGTCACTGAATCCTACCATGCCCGCCCAGTGGATTAGCTGCCCCCTAATCGATAATTTAGTTTGACGGTTCTAATTATTTCAGTTCATTCTAATAAGCAGCCTCAGAGATCGGGGGTTTACATTTTGGGGACCACTAGACATGCTGAAGTTGGAAGGTGTGTGAGCCCAGCTTTCATCAAGATCTTCCAAGAAATCACAGTGCATATACTGATTGAGTAAGTTATGATAAGACGTCCTCTTCTTGGCTGGAATATCGTGGCACAAAACTACCCTGATGTGTAGTTAGTCTTCACAAACCACTAACCTCTGTTTTGTGTCTTCCAAGTCACACATGAATAATTTGTAATAAAAAGTGTTCTTAAAAATTCTGTTATACAAGATTACTCCCCTTAGTACAAAACGAAGATTGCCGGATGAAGAAAATTTCCGCCGCACCAGCTATTTCGTCTTTATTGCGAGCAACAGCGCGAGGGTAGGAGGATAGGGTATCTGACAGGTTAGTTAAGTGTTTCAAGTTGTTGATCACATGGCTGTTGAACTGTTCGCCGAGCTTGGCAATGGACGTGCAAACGTTTCGTCGCCATACGAGGGGACTTCATAAGTGTGCAGTTGGGTGGTTACCTTAAGTTTGCCTGCAAGCGTAACGTGATTGGTCAGTTGGTTGTCAGCGGTTTTTTGCGCATCGATTGGGTCATTTGTGACCTGTGTTGCGTTGTGGTTCGAGTCGATTGGTCATCCCAAGACTTCTAGTTTTAATGGTTTTGTCCCCGTTCCGATTGACCTATTTCTGCATTTCTATTGCGTTGTGGTCTGATTTTTCTTTTTTGGGAGTGATTGGCTGGCCGCACCGCTCCATATTATCCTGTTGTTGACTCGCATCCTTGCGTCCGCCGGTTAATTTGGTAATTTGGTTCATTGCCTGGGCACCCCCTATAATAAATTTATTGCCCGGGCAACTGCTCAAAGCAATCTGATCAACAACCAATGAGCACATCCGACCTACCAAGTGTTTTAGGTTATTTCGTACAGGCCACACGCCACCTGAACGCTGAGCAAAACGCTGGGTAGATTTCCAGTTGACTGCGCATTTCGGTTTCCCCCAACAATAGACTTAGTTCTTTTGGTGTGACTATTCAGAAGGTTTCTTCTCGGTAGATATCAATCCGGAGTAGATGCTTTGAATTTGATCGTTGTGTTGTGTAAACCACGAAAAATCATTGAGACCATTCATTTTTGTCATTGATCAGCAACTGTCACTGCATCGAGCAGCATATTCCAAACTGACCTAACATGTTTTCGCGCACGATTGAAACACATCGGTTGGTAGTCGGAACACGCGAGACTATTTCAGTCAAAGGATTGCTTGTACAATCATTCTCGTCTTTTTGTACTGGAAATCGATAAGTTCATCCTAAAAATTTTTTCCTCCAGGTAGAAATATGCATTGCATATGGCAGCGTCTGTCTTGGGAGCAGTGTACCTCCAGTCATCCGAATAACTTTGGCGTCGAGCAGTTGATCCACTCTGTTAAAGGCGATGTCTCCTCGAGGGTGTAAAGTGGGTGGAAGGCACTGCAGCCAACGTGTTTTACAGAATAAACTGATAATGTGTACAGACAACGGCGGCGAGGTTGTCCCTGGCAAGCTGTTACATTCCACAGAGAGATACCTCCACTAATCCTGCGGTAAGGTGCTTGCCATTTTTTCAAGTTTTTGAAGCAGTGATCACACCGTTGCTCCTCTTAATCACCAAGGTTAACCTTTGGAATCTGATACCGTCACTTTTGCCAAAAAATCAGATGTACTTGGGAGATTGCTTCAAATAAGGCGTACGAAAATAAAACACAAAGTGTCGATAAGGCAAGCTCAATGCAAGGTAGTACGCATAAGATAGCATGCTTTTCTCGCAGTAAGAGTGAAACTATTAGCACTGCTCGTGGTTCGTTGCTGACAGATGCGTAAATTGAATAGCTTCAAGGTAGCAGACTAACGAAAGACTGTTAACGCAATAAAAAGGAATACGCGGCCACCAGTATTTAGTCACAACTCGGTCTTGTTTCGCCGTTCAACCAAGACAACATGGTTGGTAGTAGAGCATAACTGCTACGAAGAGACGCGACCACCAGTATTTAGTCACAAACCGGTCTTGCTTCGCCGTTCAACCAAGACAACATTGTTGGTAGTGGAGTTGGTAGTAGAGCATAACTGCTACGAAGAAAAAAACTCACCTTTGTTCGCGAACATCGTTGTCTAATGCAGCATAAGCTACCCGAATGGCGAACAAACTCACGACGAGAACAGAAGCTTGGAAGCTTAACCGCAAGTCTCGCCGAGTTATACTTAGGTTTTTACAATGCCCATACATTAAGGAACAGGAGAACCAATTAATTCTGCGGTCAACCCAGTGACCAGTCTAATGGAAGATCCTCCGCGATTCAACTATACACATGTCTTGTTAGGCTTACTCCCTCACTGTGGCCTCAACTACCACTTCACGTTTCAATTCCGCCTTTTTACGAAAGTTACTGGACCCATGTATGGGTTGCAGCCGTACGGAAAAGGGAAAAAATTCATCTCACCGTGATGAACACTTAATTACATGTAAAGGTTTCAATTGACAGTCCAGGGGTATAAGATGGCAGCCGAGACTGTTCCGTACTATTCCAATGTCTTCTCGTTTCTTCTTGTGTTCATTTCATCTTCTTTTTTTATTAAATTTGCTTTCATTTCTTTCGTGTCGCCCACTGTTTCATTCGGGCAAACGGTCAATGGACAACAGTCAAAAGATTTGCCAAAAACAGGCAGCAAAAGCGTCAGCTGTTTCTCTGCTCCCACAATCTACGCGTTGCTTATCCCCAGTTAATTTTGTCCCGACGGACGAAAAGAACTTTCCCGATTCCCACAGATGTCATCGATGGCTACACTACAAGTTTCTCTCACCCAAAGGCAGCCAGAAAGACAACGCGGTAGTTTAGGGAAACCCCGGGGGTTTCTGTCCCACTAATAACGCCGGACAAATAAGTCAACAATTTGGTTTGCTAGGTGAGAGAATAGACTGACACATGTGGCGAGACAAAACAGTTTTCAACCGGCAGATGACAAAGTAAAAGTCACATCTCGTTTACGCAAAATCTCAGTGACACTGTCTACAGACTGTTCAGTTTTGCGACAGTCCTATGGCGCAAGAGGACAAATTTAGAGTTCAGTAAATCAAATGTTCAGGTTTGCTTGCACAATTTGTAAACAAAGGAACACAATGTAACCTGAAATCCGCTCATCATATGGAGCGGCTTTTCACGCCCCCAATCACGCTTGCCAAATTGACGCGAGGACTAATACTGTACACTAATACTATTACCAATATGCAAATACACTAATACTAGAGTAATAATACCACACACTTATACTTCACATGACGGCTGCTTGAAGACTTTTTTCCTGTACCA